GGCATCCTGGATGTGCTCTGCAAAGAAGAGCCCACGTGGTTATGTCCCCAGAGGGCAGAAGGCTCTGTGGCAGACGCATGGGAGCCCTTGTCAGAGCTGACTCAAGGCTTGGCACCACCTGGCTTCACCCAGAATCATTAGGCTAATAGGTCCAAACATCCCCAGTGGCCCAAGTTCCCTGAAGGGGCTGCTGACACCATGGTCCAGGCTGCCAGGGGCTGGAGGGCTTGGAGCTCAGATGTACCTGTGAGTACTCTCAGGGACACCTGTGAGGCCGGGATTTGGGGATTTGGGGGGTCAGTTCTGAAGAAGGACCTCAGGGCATTCTCAGCTTAGCTGCTCAAGAGCCACAGATTACACTTATCCCTCCATGTCCACTGAGGTTGGTCACGGGCAGCTCAGCCAGCCCCCGGCCACGACTACCTTCTGACTGTCAGTGAGTCAGTACCTGCGGGAGGCTCGCTCCTCCCCTGCTCCGGCACCATACCTGCCTTTACCCATACCTCCCCCTTCCTCCCTTTCCTGCACTACAAGCTCCCAGTTTCCAAGCCTAGGATGCATCCAGTAAGCATGCAGTCATGTCCCCCACCCATTCATTTTCCAGATAGGGACATTGAGGAGCAGAGCAAGGGTGCTGAGCTCTCTGATGTCTCAAAAGTCGACTAGATATGTCTTACAGAGCCATGTGGATTAACCTGGGAACCTAGCTACTGAGTGTGAGACTCCTCCCTTGGGCACATGGCTGGGGTACAAGGAGGCATTCCAGGTAGAGCCAGAGTGTCAGGGCTGGGCTAGTGTCTGAGGTCAGGAGGCCAACACTGGCAAGTCCTTACCTTCCCTGAGGATCCCGTAGGTTTTAAAGAACTGTAGGACAGGGTCATTGCTGAATTTTTCCAGGCCCAAGGCCGCGGCCTGCTGCACATGGCGGAAATACTGTTCTTGGCTATAGTAAATGATCCCAGCCTGTGGAGAGAAAGACACAGTGGCAAGAGCCCCAGTCCCTTCTCTCTGTTCCCTCCCACTTTCTCCCCTATTCCCTGTGCCTCCTCCATTCTGCAAAAGGAAGGCGGGAAAGAGAACATTTGGGCCTCATTTTGTTCTTCACCAGCCCCAGGAGTAGCTCCATTGCAGTTCCCCAGGAAGGAGGAGCTTGGACTTGTTTGGGAATTGTCCACAGATTCTGGGTCAGATGTGATGGAGGATTCAGCTTAGGCTTTGTCTTAGTACGGGACTAAGGGGAAAGAGAGAGGGCCAATAATAAGAATGGGTACACCACCAGTTAGAGTTGTAAGTTACTGTGGGTTAAACACTTGTTGGGAACCGTATCAAGGGATTTACACCCATTATCTTATGCATTATTCTCTCCATATCCTTCACAGTTAAAAAAGCTGAAGCCTATAGAGACGATGCCTTGACAAAGGTCATGCAGTAACAAGGGCTGAGATTTCAAAGTGAAGTCTCACTTCCCTTAAGGTTCGTGGGTGCTGGGGTTGGGAAGGAGATGTGGTTGGGTTGTAAGCAGTCTTGTGGGCCATATGAAAGAGCCCAGACATCACCCTCAGGGTAATAGGAAACAGATGGAATGGTTTTAAGCAGGAGGAGGGATGTGTTCTGATGTGTGTGTGTGAGCGGTGGTGGTGGTGTGGGGACCGCTGGTGAAGAGAGAGCTGAAGCAGAGAACTCTTTGGGGTGTGTGTGTGCGGGGTAGTGTTTCAGGTGCCTGGGGAGAGATGGTGGTGATCGTCGGCTAGGAGATACAAAGCAGTGGGTTCTGTCAGGTCACTTGTAGGAGCTAACATTTCCTGCTGATAGGACCCGAGGTGAGAATGGGGAAGAGTGAAGGCTGTAGGATCAAACAGTGGTGCCGTCTACTGAGGTGGGGGACGCAGAAGAGGCAGAGGCAGGGGAGGGGGAGATGTTGGCAAGATGGTAGAGATAGGTTTTGGATACGCCGGTTGGGGGCAGCTCGAGGACAAGACTGGGTGGGGATGCTGATTTGGAGCTCAGGGCCCATGGAGAACACCAGAGGAGAAAGATGCGCTCGCCGGGAACACTGAGGCCAGAGGGGGCCAGGCTCTTCATTAGCGGCCGGCCGGGGACAGCGAAAGGCGGGTAAAGGGGACAGCAGGAGCGGTCGGAGAGGTCACAGGAGAGCAGCGGGACGCGGGGGTCTCGGGGCCAGGGGCGGAGAGTCCCGGAGGGAGCGGCTTGGCCGCACTCCGACCACACACCATAAGGGAGGAGTCATCGCTGCTCATCTCCAGCCGCCCGCGGCTCCGAGTCCGGGTCTGGTGGGGCCGCGCGGAGCTGGATTCCCGAGCCAGGGTCCTGGGCACGCCTCTCGCGGCCGGAAGTTGGAGGCGCGCGTCCTTGGAAACGGAGGTAAGGGCCGGTTGCTAAGAGCATCAGAGTCAGGGGTGGGAGAGGCAGGCGCCCACGTGACAAGGCGCCGGCAATCGAGCGCCGAGAGGGCGAGTGCGCGCTGGTGGCGCCCGGTTGGGCGGCCGGGTGGGCACGGCCGTACGGGACACGGGCGCCGC